ATGTAGCACCAGACATTTGACCTAAAAAAAGAGCATTCTTTTTATTCTGATTATTTCTTCAAATGCTTAGTATTTGTTTGAATCCTTGTCTAGCCCTCCTTGTGCTTGCTGACTCTCCCAGAGACTATTGTATGTTTTGATAATTATATATTCTATTTCATCTTTTTGATCAGTAATGTCAATATTCAATGACTCCAGATTTAAGGCGCACACTTTCAGAGTTCTATTTTGGCATAACTCTCCATATTGAAATTGGACTTTAAATTAGTTTTGTAGATGCTTTTATATTCATATAGATCACAGTCTAGTGAAAGGTATCCCTGCCCATGGCTTGGGGGTTATAGCTAGATGATCTTTAAGGTCCCTTAGGGTCCCTTTCAACTAAAACCATTTTATGATTCTGTGAATTGATCACTAAGCTAAAAAAAAAAAACACTGGTCACTAAGGTATGGACAGTTACAATAAAATTACACTACTCATATGGAGATAAAAATGGACTGGATATGGTACAGCAAGAAGTTTACAAAATACACATTCACATGATTACAGTCAAGATGTTCTCTTAGGATGTGTCAGAAGTAAGCTTTCTGACTTCTTCAGTAATTCCCTTTTTTGCTTGAAAAAAAAGCATATAGGTTTTGATGATATGGTGATCTTTTCCAGAAGGATCCAGCTCAGAATCCTCTCCTCAGGATTAACAGTCCACAGTTTAATTTATGTCTTTATTACTCATTACATCACATTAGCAATTATTTAGTGATATTTACTAAAAAACTGCTCAAACAACAGAATTCTGAATTTCTTTATATACTTTTTTCCTAAATTCATATCTAGATATTTGAAGGTATTCCTTTATCTTAAAGATATTAATTTCTATAAGGAAATGTTATTCTGACTTTTTATTCTGACTTTTTAAATTTTTTGCAGAAGCAGTGAAATATGAATCCAATGATTTTGGATATTTCAAACAACAGTTTCCATATATGTGTGTATATATATATATATATGTATGTATGTATGTATGTATGTATATATACACACATCTGAGTTTTCAGAATTCTTACTAAATATTTTCTATTAATTGGATTATATTCCTTCAATATTATCACTGAAAAAAAATCCACAGGCTGGTTCTTTGGGTTATATACTGGACAGATGATAAATATTAAAAAAATATTCAGTGGCAATTAGCCTTATTATTTATATAAGCCTTTGTGGAAGCAAAAACCAACAGTAGTTAAGAGTATGATGGACTTTTATTTAGAATAATAAAATTTAAATATTAAAATAAATAATAAATAAATTTAGAATAATAAAAGGAAACTTTTCCAGGGTTGGATTGATGCCCCTGAAGAACAAGTTATAGATGAACTGAGGATCCAGGAAAGCAATTCTGGATTCTTGAGTACCTTCCTCTTGACTGTAGAGTAGACATTTGCTTTCCTACTTCTTTTGAGTAAACTCAGAGAAGAATATCTGGGGCTTTTACTGTAGAAGTTCAGTAAGGCTTTTTCTGAGAGGACCAAAGGTGCTACACTTGATGAGTCACGGCTCTCCCTCTCGCTTGGTGTGCAGATCAGCTTTCAACACTACCAAATGTCATACCCCACTGCCTGGCTAAATGAGTTGAAACACTTAAATTGTTCCCAGAAAGACACAGCAGGTGATCACCCACTTCCTTTTTCCAATACACAGTACCACAGACTTTCATTCCTCTCTACACAAAGCATGATTCCTGCACATTCCATTTGTATCTGTTTACAATTCTTTGATTTTCCTTTTTAACCTATTCCAACATAGAAGTCTCTTAGGTTTTCTTTAATGCCTGACAGAAATAGGAGTTGTCAGGATTCTTTTTCAGTTCTCAGCAGACAAAAGATTTTGACCATCTACTTCAACTACATGTCCGACTATGAGAAGAGTTCTTAAATTGCACCCATGGAAAAATTGCCATTCATTTGGAAGGATGCCAACTTTAAACATCAATTGGACATCTCAGCTGAATTAACAGTCTGCTCTTTATTTACCAGTAAGGTAGGGGGAGAAAATGCTATTACGTGTACTTCGTATTCTCTGTTGCATACTAAATAATTCCTGGGAGGTATTCGTGATCTATAAAGCAGCAAGCAGTTTGGTCACAGCTATCTCTGGCACCATCTGTTTGACCACTTGCAAAAGTAACAGACTGCACAGAAGCTGAAAAAGAGGCATGACTAGCATGAGTTTGGGAAAAACTGTATCTAGATCCAAAATTAAACCAGCTATTCAGAATTTCATCACAGTGTGTCAGCCGTACTGCAGTTACCCCTTGAACCCTCACAGGCCGGTTTTCCCTTGCCGCTGGCAGATGTGACTGTCTGCTCTTTCCATAGCCAAAACGTTTGCAGATAGTCTCATTAAAACAAAAGTTTCCAGCAAAGAACAGAAAATTTAGCTCCTGAGACTATCCTGCTGGTTTTTCTACCCAGACAAATGAAGAACAGACATTTTGGCCATATTCTCATATATTATTACCTATTTATCTGCTTTATTTTTCTGCATTGAATTATTTCAACTGGGAACAACTGTTTTCATTCAAATTGTTAAAGAAATTATAAAGCTGTGTAGATGAAAAAACTACTCTTGAAGTATGGGACACTAACACTGGCGATTCCTAATTATTATGTTAGGATAATAAGCTGCTAATACATTTAATATAAGCTATATTCATAATTACAACTAATTTTTCGAAAGCATTTACAAGACATCTTTGATGTATGTGGCCTTTTTTCCTCAAAATCATCATGATATATATTAAAAAAAGCCATTTAACCAATGAGTTGTATATCTGTCTCATGCTTGATCACTCCTAACAGTTATAACAACAAAGGAAAAGCCCATTTGCCATTTTAAGCACTGGACTTAATTAACTCCTTTACATTACTAGGAACTTTCCCAATAGTTCAAGAATTATTAAAAGTTAATGAGAATGTTTTGGAAAGTTTCCTAACCAATAAAGGATTCTTTTGAACAACTTAATAATGTCTACAATTATATCACAAGTACTGAATATAAAAGCTTTAAACAAACACAATATCAATAAAAGAAGAATGGAAAAATCCTTGATAATATTTAGACTATCATTTATAGTTAAAAAACAAAAACTTTCATCTAAGTTGTTATGCTGTTCTTTATTTCAATTTCTCATACATTTTTGAACATTCTCTTTATTTCCAAAATGATTGAGAAACTAAATAAAACTTGAGACAAGCCTTAAGATGTGTTGACCAACTATTGCTTGCATGAGTAGAAATACAACCCTTCTCTGGTGTTTCTCCATAGGATGCCTGAGGTTTTTTTTTTCAGTTGGAAACCTTTGAGGATCAAAATACCAAGTAAGTGCCTGAATCACTTCTGAAACAGTAATTTTGCAATTGCAAGGGATTTTAAAAGGGTGGCTGTCTCCTGTGTTTTTACTGCTCTAACAGTGTTTTGGCTGATGGTAAAACCATTGGTGTTAAATAGTATCTGATAAGAAACTGAAAATATTATAAAGAACCTTGGTGTGAATGGTTGGAGAGAAAAATCAATATAAAGTCTTGGACTTTTACCGCTCTTCTGGATAAGTTCAGAAGATATATATTGCACAACCCCATGATCCCAAATAACATTCTTAATGTGCAGAGGGAACATGCCAAATTTCCTCCTTGCTCAGGTGTTCTCAGAGTGTACATGTAGATACCTTAAGTAAAATGCATAAGAGCTCCTGCAGACTTCTGAGGAATAAACACCTCTTGTAAAAATTTTCTCGTGATTTTTTCATATGTCTGTAAACACCGCTATTATGGAAAGAAAGGGGTGTGTGGGGGGAGGGAGGAAGAAGAGGAAGCAATCAATATTTATCATTAGTGTTAAGCAAGAATTCCTAAATCACATTACCATGAGATGATGTCTGCAAAGTTTTAGTGGGTCGAAAGGCTTCCGGGAACATGAGTTAATAGCATCACTTTACAGTCGTGAAGGCAAGAGCAATTCTGAAGATTGCTTCAGTAATTCAGAATGAGCAACAACAGAACCCCTCAAGTGCATTGCTGTTCATTAATAATAATGTCCATACAGCAGACAATTTCTGTTTAAAGAACGAGTCTTTGTAACTTGGTCAGCAGTATTATGTTTAAAGCGCTCTCCTGCAAACAAAGGGAGAGCAAGCTTCTCTCTCATGCATTGTATGAAAAGAATCTGCCAGCTTACAACTACCCTCACGAGACCATCCAAATGCAATCATCTCCTGTTTTATCTCAGCCTAAGAAAAAACCACATGAATTGCATTCTATATATGCAGAAACAGCTACAACATGAGTCATCATTTCTGCAGAAACCTCTCCCACCAAGTGCCTCATCCTGGCTGTAAATGGCCCCTGACAAATCCCTACGGCTTCATTTGCGGTCTCTGCCGCTGAGACTGTTCCCTGCAGGAGCAGCTCAGGCTGAGAGGATGCAGCAGGCTTGATGCTGTGGAGCATGTTACCTCCAAGGGATGGGGTCAGCAGTTTGTGTGCTCTGCATGCTGAGGGACTGACTCCTGAAGCAACTTTTAGCAAGCAGTTGCAGAATGTCAAAAGTGAATCTTCAGAGAGCACAAAAACTAACTTGAAAGAGCTTAACAACAAAAATCCTCTCTAAATTCCATTTCCCATTCATTTTTAAGGAACAACTCTATTAAGAAATGGATACTTAGCTAACCAGTAGGGTTTTTTAAACAGCTACATGTTGCTATAGATCAGTAGTTTCTATAAATATGGGGATTGTCATAAAGAAAAATTCTTGAAAATACCTCACAGCACTCGAGGTTCAGAACACAGCGTTTTAAACAGGCAACAAAAACTTACTAAATTCCTTTCTGCGTCTTCCAAGCAGTTCCTTTTCAAAATAATTGTACATATTTAAAACATCTTGAAACAAATGCAACTGATACAAAGGTTTGAAATTGCATACATTATGAAAATTGTTTGCAACCTACCTTGGAATTGTGTAAATTTGATGGTTCCCATCCTCTCTCCATTTCTGAAAACAACTTCACCCTAAATAAAATAAATAAACACCTTAAAATTTTATAAATCTCTCATAATATAGTTTTTCATTTACACTTTAATTTTCCATTGACTATTAAAATGACCAAAGCAATGTTTAAACTCTGAAGATAGTCAGTTCAAACGTTCAAAATAACTCAAGAATACCTCCTTAAAGCCTTCTTCTACAGATTTCAAATGGCCTTAGAAAGTTGGCCAGTGTTACCACCCACTTTTCATTTCATGGAAATGGAAGCACAATAAAGCCAGTAACTTACTGAATTTCAGATGATGAGAGACATGCAAACAATTGATTTTCACTGTTTGGTTTATGAAGGATATGTAAAACTTTCAAAGATCACATAAGAAAATAGTTTTCCCCTTCATTCATCCATCATACAGTTCTCCAAATGGCTCTAGAAGCTATTTATCTTATCTTATATACTTACCCTACTAGGTTATGTATACCAGTAGCTCCTATGGCTTGGTTTTGTACTATACCAACATCTGTGTCCTAGTATTCATTTTAATTGTAATGTCTTTAAGTCAGTACTACCATTTGTGGTACTCTTCACTGCAGCCTCTCAACATAATGGTCATGTAATGCTGAAACCTCCTCACATATCCCTAGGAAATTACTCCCATCTTTTAGCCCATCTTTCTGCATTAAATTAATAAAAGATCTTGTTAAATTTCCTCCTTACTTCAGCTATTTCATGATTGAGTATGAAGGAAGAGGGTTTCATTCATTTATGGTAAGTATTTTTAATATTTTGAACCTGTAGTGGGGAGCTGAATGCTGTCAAAATAGATTTCTGTTCTACTTCATCCTTGGTTTGGCTGATTAACACCATCTACATAAATCTTTGTTTTGGCAGACATCAGAGTAGAAGAAACCAAATGACAAACCTGTGAGGATACAATACATTTCTCTGTGCCATCCTGCCACTTTTTGGATAACCCTTTCTAGTCACTGAAGGGATGCACTGAAGGCCTCTGAAATACTGAAGTCAGGTCCCTACAGGAACAGCTCAAGAGGTTTGTAGTACAGCACATTCACCTCCCCCCCATATTTTGCAAGCCACAAAACACCATTTCCCTTTGATAAACAGAAGAAATCTTAAACAAGTGTAAGCCACATTGTGCTAAACTTTAAGAATCAAAAGCTCCAATCTCCTGGCTATTTTATAAAAAATAGGAAAAATGTTTTAAGCAAAAATTTTATATAAATAAAATAAATAAAATGTGTAATTTAATTTTATAAACTACAGCAATGCTAGAAAGAAATAAGCCAATCAGTGTTTCAGAAACATGTCTTTAGGAATTATGTGCTGATTTATGGCATGAGAAGTGAGCTATAATCTGATGTTCTACAGCTCACATCAAGCCATTTCTTTGCTACTGAGATAACATGCCATAAGATTTAGCTGGAGAGTTGTCTTCTTTATGCTTGAGATTCATAAATTACTAAAAGTTTTTCTTCTTTATTTAAAGTGGCAGCTGTTTGAATAATAGATATCACTAACACACACATTTAGATGCAATATTCCAAAAGCCAGTCTTAGCACTATTTTGTCCTTTCTTTTTATCTCACCACACACTCCAGCACAAATACCAGTAAAAACTGCAGTTTATGGTGTGACCCACCATAAAACCTAGATCTTATGAAATCCATGTGAACATAGCAATACCCAAAATCCTTTTTTAACTTCCTAACTTTTAACTGTCTAGGTGATGTTACATAGGCATATTTAGATATTGATTGGCAAAAGGACCAGTGATTGTATAGAATTAAGGAAAATAATGGAAGTAATGTTAATACTAACAACTTCTGAACATCATCATCATATTCAAAAAATATTTCTTGATCAAGTAAATATTTTATTTCAAGAGATGTAAAATAAGACCTCAGTCCTGAAAAAGCATTTAAATCAACTGCAAGTGAATAACTTAGAACAAACAATTAGAAAAAACCTCACATTTTACTGTATATTAAATAGTTAATTACCAAAGATTTCCTCTTCCATTATGCACAGATCATCCCAATGGAGACAAACAGAAACCACACTGGTGTCTTGGTGCCTATTTAATTTTCTTCAATCTACCACCTACATTTTTTCTTTCTTTACGAGCTGTAAAAGTGAATGCCAGAGTAGATACCAATCTGCCCAGCTGATCTGCCCAACTTCGAGCTGTGGACAGGCATCTTCACACTAGCAAGGACCCTTGAAGAGCTGATGGGAAGGAAATAGAAAGTTTGTGGGAGTCCAGCAGGCAGAGATGTGAACAGAGAGCGGAAAAGGAGCTGGATGAGCTCAGTCTGGCCCTGCTGGACATTGCAGCTGGTGTGTACAGCCACCACAGCACACAGAATTCCAATTTTTCTGGCCCAAATACATCCCTGTATTTGGGATTCATTGCAGCTGCATAACTCATCATACAGCCTTATAGAGGTGTACTTTATCTAGTTTTCCTAAATGTACTACCACCTATAAGTATAAATAATACTAGTCTCACATTACAAGTTAGGTGACTAGAACAACTGAAATATAGAAGCTTATGCTGTAGGTTTTTTAGGTTTTTGTTTCTTTGATTTTTGATACATCTCTGACCTGCTTCCCTTGTAATTTTATTTTTTTTAAAAATGATATTTTATTTCTTTTTAATCACCTCAAAAAGCTACAGTGCTTGAAAGTTCTTTACAAATCATGAAAACCAGACTGGACCAAACATTCCAACAGCATCAATCTCACACTTGCCACATACAAAGACATCATCTCCCTGTTTCTTCTGAGTACTTTCATCCTTTTTGTGCTCTGTTTTACAAACCTGATATTGATTTGTGTACTTTGTTATACAGAGTAACTGTTTCATCCCTTAATAAAAACACATTTTCTGCCCTCCTTGGATGTAGAGTCTTCCCTTTTATCTTAAGTCATTAGTCCTTTATTTTTGGTCAGAAGACCACATTGTCCATTCACACTTACAAATTATTAGGGGACATTAGATTTATTTCAGACACATGGGACTTCCACTGCCTTTATGGAAGTCATTTGTCTCCACTTGGAAGGAGCTGTATATTATGCTTCTATATTTTTTCCTTCTGGTTAAAAAGTAGGTATCTTTGCTATGTTTTAAACTTGTCATTAAGCTCTTTTTGAGCTGCTGAGCACTAGCATTTATTACAATGTTCTTTGCATTATCTTTGACAGTATTACTATCCAGCTCTGGACAGAGGCCCACACCAAAGTTAGAATTCTTTCATTCTTCATGCACTGAAATCCACAGCCAGCACATTTTTTCATTCATATATTTAGTTTTCTTCTTCAATCAAACCAGAGTTCATAAGTTTCTTAACTGCTCTCTCAGTCAGGGCCAGATCTGCGCTTTGACCAACAATTAATTTATTAATTAAATAACACATTAAATTTTTATATTTTCTTCTGCGAAGTTTCTCAAATATAGTAAATGGAGAACTAAGTGCATAGCATTTACTTCATGATTTTCAACACTGTCCCTACAACCAATGTCAGCTTTAGACTATGTTTACTTCCTCCTTCAGCAGTCTTCTACCACATGGCACCAAACAACTATTTATTCAACTGTTTATCGTGTACTCAGCCTATACTTGATATCTTATTGGTGATTTAAAATGTCATAAATATACATTCAAGCTAAATTAACAACACAGATACCCCTTCATCAGAGGAATGACAGTGAGAACAATGACAAAAACACCACAGCTGGCAATTTAATTAAGTTTAATTAAATAAAATAAATTGTATTTAAATTTAAAAAATAATAATTAAAAATAGAAAATAAAAATTAAAAAGTAAAAATAGAATTTAAATTAAAAGAATTATTTTTTTTTCAAAATTTTAATTAATTTAATTTAAATAGGACAGTTAAATACTACAGGATTTCTGTGCCCTGAGTGTTATCTGATGGGTCAATATATTTCAGGACACTGCTTCAGTTCCACTTCACTGCCCAGGAATCTGGGTTACTCTGGCCTATATAGAAGTCATCTCCTCATATAACAGTGTTGAAAGCCAGTGGCTTTCCATGAAATATCTGAGACTACACAGTCAAATCTGCTCCAACAGTGACCATCAGTATTTTCCCAAAAATAAATTAACTCATTCAGTTTTGGGGTACTTGGGTGAGATATTTGATATCAAGTAAACAATCTAAATAAATGCACACAGATATATGAAAATCAGTAAGATAACTATGACAACTGAAATAATGTTTTACATAATTTTATATATTCTTTATATATTTATGTAATATATAAAATTAAATCTTTAAGTTCTGTGACATCTGCTGAAATCAAGGTGCACTTCTGAACATTTAGTTTACTTATTGGACTATGTCCAATAAAAGTACAAGCCAAGGAGGGGGAAGCATCCCAGGATAGGAAACCTAAGAGTTCACTGTCACCCAGGGGGCAGCTTACTGGTGTCTCACATTGCTCGCAGCTATACAGCTCTACACCTACCTGCTGGAAGCTTGGTAGCTCAGCATTCATCAGGCCCCTGTGTGAGCTCTAGTGGCCTACTAAACCAGCAAAATGCATTCAGTGGGATTTTTTTCTTTTTTTGGGTTTTGTTTTTTGGGTTTTTTATTACTTTGGCAAGTAGGCGATATGTTGTTTCTCAATTGCTGAACCAGAGCCAGCACAAAAGAGCCCTGGAAGGATTCAGGTACTAGCAGAAGGAGGTAGGAGGAAAGGAGCAAGACACTCTCTGTTAGCCCTAGATCCTTTCAGAAGACTTTCTATATTTTCATGCAATGCACGCAGCCTGCCACTCACATGTTGCACTCAATTTACTCATTTGGGACTCCTTAGCTACTGACACACCTTCCCTGACACACACAAAGCAGCAAGCTGGGATTCTCTGCCTCTTGGTTCTGCAACCTGTGGGCAGTGAAGAGCTACACACTGGAATTCATAGCCTCTTCCACTCTTCAAACTTCATGTCCAAGACAGTGATGCTTACAGAGAAAGG